TCCGTCTGCGCCCGTCTCCTCTCTACAACTCGAATACACCATACGTATATTTGCCAAAAGAAAGCTTTTGAGACTTGGGAAAGGAATTTCTATCTGTTGGGTGCAGGTACGGTAGCTCCGCTCAACCCACCGCTTTTCGTCCAGGTCGGGGGTGGGAGAACGCAGCCGGCCACGGACCTCCATGAGCTCGGTCTTGGCTCCATCGCAGCCGGCCACGTCTGCGAACTTGGTCTTGGTGTCGCCGTCCTTGATGATCCGAGCCTCGCGAGGAACTTCACACCTTCACACGGCGACCGCGAGGTTGTTGTTGTTGTTGTTGTTGCTGTTGTTTGTTTGATAGTTTTGGGGAGTCAATCACAGTCTGGCGGACTCTGGTGAGTCAGTCGTTTTCGGGAAACGAAAACCACCACGGCTGAGTTGGCAAAAACGATGCTTTTCAGTGCAAACCACGAGGTTTTTAGGACTTTTTTAGGTCAATGCTTTGGACATACAGTATCCGTGGATCCCCCCAAAACCACCCAGCCAGCGATTGACTTGTTCCTCTCTGTATGGTATATACTGTAGCATCTGTAGCCATGCTTGTACAATTCTCTATCATTATACTTGCTTGTGTTTCTTTTCCTGAGCCTCACCCCGTTTCTCACCCACAGCACAGGTCTCGATTCCATCATTTTTTGCAACCAGGGGCTGTTGCGTCATGGTCTAAAGTTGAAAAATAAATAAAAGCCCAGCCACGCTCCGGAGTTTCTCCGGGTTGAGGAGCAGGGAGACATCGGAAAAAATGATTGAAAAATGGCATATGCGATTCATGTCATGGTTCTGTCTTTGTAAGGCACTTTGCCTGGCTCTTTTTGGGGGAATGGTTCTGTGCCAATTGAACAGATTGATGTTCGTGTTGTAGTCTTCAGACTGCTTCTCGGTGGCCAAAAAATGGTATTAGCCCAGAGCGCTTAACACACGGACACGCTGCCAAGCTGGTAAGAACATGGTCAAAGGCCCTTCCCTGGCAACAAGCTGCGAAGTTGGCCACTTGAATTAAAAGGTCGCTCCACACGCAGGCTATCAAAGGCCACGTCCTGTGTGAAGGTTTCATCTTTCAAATTCAAGCTACTGAGGACCCAAATTCCGTGGTAAAACCAGCTGATTGCGAATTGGAAGCTGAAGGCCATGGATTGTCAGGATGAATGCATTGTTTCGCGTTCGGTCCTCGAAGGTGTCCATGTATTCCTGAAGCAAATCGGATACCGGCGGTTTGGTCTTCCATGTGTGGAACATGTATGCCTTTTCATCATCAAAATCAGCAAACAGGGACACATGCATAGTGGCGGAGTTGAAAGATTAGGTATTGATGGGTTCTCGAAGAAAACACCCTGAGAGAAATGAACTGAGAAGTATCGATCCGGATCTTGAGCGTGATGAAAAACCTGTGATTCAGTGATGTCGGTGCTCTTTGGATGGTTCCCCTATGTTCCCCTAAACTGAAATCAAAAAATCTACGACATTCTACGACCATGAGAGGTTTCGCGCTCTCCCCAGCACATCCGTTTAACCCGTTCACGCTCTTCTTTGGGGTCACAAAGTGAGTTAAGATGAGTTTAAGTGATCAACAAACGGGGGGCTCCATGATCAGCAAAGCAATGAAAAAGTAATTTGACAAATCAGAGTCTTTGATGTCTTGATCTTCCTCTGCTGGCTGCATGAGCGGCCAGCTTTTGGATCGGGTCACCATTGGGTCTCGCTTCAACTCAATGAATGTCCCTTGACAGCACCAGGATGCTCTCGCTCTTCCAGCCATGCTCGCGCTAGAAACCAGCGGACTCCACGCTGGATGTTTTTATCGTTTTTTTTTAAGCCTTGAAAAATCATACTGCGGCGGATGTACGTGGGCACAATCCCACCACGGACCACGAAGGTGTTACTGGCCGAACAGGTGGTACAGACACCGACCGCCGAAAAGCGAAGAATCCCACGACTCGTTTCGTCCACTGGCCGAACAGAACACGGGCCCCCCCCTGGTTCGGAGACCAAAAACCAAACGTTTCACAGGTGGATCATGGTGGAACTGCTCCCATCCTTTTCGTTTCGCCGAACCCAGCGGCTTCGTTCACATGTTCACCCAGTTTCGCCGGACCCGGGCGAAGTGTTCGTGACCGGGGCGTTGGTGACCGTCATTGACCGGTTTGGCCTATCGTTTAGGTCCGGTTCAACAGTAGGCGCCTCTTCAGTACCCACCTTCACCAAAATGGGGCAAAGATCCGATTTCGGTCCCCGGAGTCGGTTTTTTCCAAGTTGGACTCCCGACCAGCAGCTCCTTCCTTGCCGACCAGTCACAGCTCCTTCTATCCACCCCTCCCTGGACCCCTCAACGGGTCAGAAGTATACACACACCGAACTGCCTTGGATTTGCCAAGCTCGAAGGGGTTCCCGCCCGGGCCGCCCGCGCCCGGGCCGCCGAAGGGCCTAGGTGGTTGGTGGTTGGCCATGGGAATGTGAAACTCTTACAGATTGTTTTGCAGCACGATCGGGGTAATGTAGTACTTCTGAAGAGCTGGTAGCACCACTGTGTTCCGATTCTTCTGGAGGGGTACATAAATTCCTCTGGTATCTCGCTGGTAAATGCTGGATGGACAAGTTCAATCAAATTCAAGGCCTGCCAGGCATTGGCGTTCGATGGAGTTTCGACATACCCGGGCGGACAAAGCCGACTCAAGATCATGGAAAACAGATCCCTGAGATCCTTAAGCACCTTGTTGCATTGAAAATGCGGCGCATTTGCATGGAATCCATGACCCACAGAGGATCATGACCCCATTTCACGCGCGTTGCCTAATGTAGTTCCTTGATTAATCAACCCCCCGCCGCCCCCCCCCCTCAACAACCAAGGCCTCCAATATAATCTACAAGAAAACTAATCAAAGGACAAAAACAATTAGAATCCTTTTAAAATCTTCTTGGCCTTGTCTGGCCAAAATTAAAAATAAAAGGGAATCAATGAAATCTCAAATTGAAGACATCTGGAATACTAAAATAAAAGGACATCAATAAAGTTGAAATGAAATTCTCAATATTTTAATGGAAATCTGAATCCAAAGACCTTTAAAAGCATCCAATACTTTTGAATAAGGGTTTTGTAAAAGAAAGTGTACACTGACTTTTGGAAACTTTTGGAAAGCTTAAAGACTAAAGAGCTTAGGTAAGTAAACCAAATCAAAAGGAAAAGAAAGGGCATGAATACAAGTTTACTTAAAGCAAAATATTTTTTGAAGCCTGAAATCTCTAGACATTATTCTAGGCCCCACCCCTAAATAATGTCAGAAAGCTGCTTGCTGGACTACCCCCTTTGCTTGAATGATCTTTTGTTTTTTCAATAATTTTGAATAAGCGATGTTGTAAAGAAAGTATGCACTGACTTTTGGAAAGTTTTGGAAAGCTTAAAGACTAGAGAGCTTGGGTAAGTAAAGCCTCCAAAAGCATCAAATTGCAATGGAAATCTCTAAATGTTGTATAGAAATCTCCATCCAAAAGCCTCCAAAAGCATTAAATCTCAATGGGAATCTTCAAATGTTTAATAGAAATCTCCATCCCAAAGCCTGTAAGATAAGCAAATCCCAGCAAACTCAAAAGGGAAAAAAAACTATAACAACAAGATGGAGCCCACGAACCCGAATGCAAACACGTTCAAAAAGCTATATATGTCCAAATGACACTCTTGTAGGACACTCTTGTGGGACACTCTTGTGGGTCACTCTTGTAGGAAACTCTTGTGGGACACTCTTACGGGACACTCTTGTGGGACACTCTTGTGGGACACTCTTGTGGGACACTGTTGCGGGACACTCTTGTGGGACACTCCTGTGGGACACTCATTTGGGACACTCTTGCGGGACACTCT